TGGAGCGTCTTTCGAATAGGTTGTTTTGTAACGGAAATAAATGACACGTGTTAGATTTTTTTACTGAATTACTACTTTGATTTTATTACTTTGATTTTTCTTACTACTGTTGAAAAAACATTCATTAAAAGTTTGTACATCATGGTCCTCATATACACAAAGTTATTGCTCAGGTGACTTGGAGAAGGACGGGGCATATATGTATATACATTGCCTGCAATTTATTTCCCCGCTAACGACCTCATTAAATTTATATACCAAGGACACTGGATTGCCAGAAAATCTCATTAACTGCCTATTTTCACTTCAAATATTTGTTAGTTGAAGTAAAATAATTATTGTTGTGTGATTACATAAAGCAGATTTATCGAAATATATTTGAGATATCGAAACATATTTTTTCGTATTTTGAAACGAGACAAAAGGGAGTTATATTTGTTCTACGTAAAATATGTGCATGATCGGGTTTTATTTTAGTAGTGCGCCTTGACCTTTATTATCACTGAGATTCAGAATAACGTTAATCTAAAATTACAGAGATTATTTTTCTAAGGCTGATAATAACAAATTCCTATTTATAATTGATTCTCAAGTAAAGTTCAAATTATTTCCATAGAAAAAGAAATTTAAGCTTATTTGAAGTTAACTGATGCTTGCAGTTCGTGACTAATAATTGTGCGTGAGGCGTGACTCGTAGCCACGCGTGCTTGCCAGTCCCACTGCATTAGTCTCCACGCTTGCGTGCGTCGTCCAGTCGTGTCGCCTGCTTTACCATGAATAGGTAAATCCTTTCACTGCAGACATGGTAATAGTTATTCCTACTCACATTATAAGGCAGTTTAGTGTATTTTGTCAATAGGAGCTAGTGCTTTCTTTCATTTAAAACAAATTCAAATACTGGGATAGGTTTGTGTTCTCGTTGTGTCGAAGCGTGTTGCAAGCTCGTTTGTCTTACCCCACTCCGCTCCTATGCCTTCCTCGACAAAACCTTGAATTGTTCGAACCACTTTCACCATTTTGCTTAAGGATTTCTTGTGTCTTTTTCGGCCTTAGTTTTGTTACCTGCATTTTATTGTAACTTACGTTTGTTTGCTTGTCTCGCCAAAACATGGCGCACAAATTTCTGCATGTGAATTTTCTTTCTTAAAGAACTGTGGAAAAATTCGAGTTTTCGCAGAGTAGTTCGACCGAATTATTCGTTAGAAAACGCTGTAATATTTTTTCAGACAGAGTGTTTGATTTTTGCTAACTCTCTTCTAGATTTGAATGCATTCAATCAACGAATGTTTGCAGGTACCCAGCAGGAGTTCTTTATTTGTAGTCTAGAACTCTTCGTCATTTCTGTGATCGGGAAGCGCTTTTTTGCGCTGCTGAGGACAAGTTTGTAGAGCATGCTCAGCTGTTCAGCAGTCATGCTAGTCATATGCAAGGCAATATTATATCAAAAATCAAATCATTTCATATTTAAAATACTATACTTAAAGTCTTAAAATACTACACACGAAACAATAGTAATAGTATATCAATAATCAAGTACTTCGAACCTTAAAATGCTAAATATGAAGTGAAAACTGCAGTTAGACCCCTTACCTAAACTACAGTACCAGAAGTTTTGACCCCAGCGGCTGGTTAAGCGGTTAAATTACCTAAAACGACCTTCAGTTGACAATGACGTGACCCCGTACCATCTTACAAATTCAAACTCACACCTATGTGACCTTGAGATCGTTCCTCATTTGACCTTGAACCCAAGTTTAAATAGCACACGAAGTTCGTTCTCAAGTTTGGGAGAGCCCAGGGGAGTGGGGAGGCGTAAATTGTGTGGTACTTGAATCTATCTTCATTGGCGATGACCGATTTGAACATGGCTCGCTCAGCAGTTTCACGACGTTAAGTTCGGTCGTCCGTCTTACGCGTTATCTTCTGCCGCCTCGTCGACCCTCCCGACCATCTTTTCGGTCATTATTTGCCAGTCGGACTCGACCATTGATCACGGAGTAGAATTTCAATGCCTCAGCGCTCTTTCAGCGCCAGTAGAACTCAGTTCAATTTGCAGTTCTGGCATCCCGCTGAGCAGTAATATTTTACGAGCCCCAGCTTTAAAACCTGTCAGGAACATCGCCAGGGTATCAAAAATAAAATTTGAGTTACTTCGCGAATATATTTGTATGAATTCAAATTGCAGGCATTTTTACTCACACCTGCCTCCGCCTCGTTGCAGGGCAAGTTCGAATTTTTTTTGCTTGTTCTCTAATTGTGCAAATATATTGGGAATCATTGTGCTCGTTAATGCACACAATTTATACTCATCAAAAATTACTGTAATTTTGTGATGAATTTGGATTTCCACACACAATTGGACATGTAAAGCCAGGTGTGATATTAATATTAATTTATTCAAAATTATTTAAATATGTGCGTTGTAATATGTTGTGCCGAGCTGTTCTCTTAAATAAAGTCCCCCAAGTATCCATATAAGTTCATTTGCTTCAGTTTATATTGATATCGATGGATCTTGACAGATGATGGCTGTTGTAAATGGCACGGATGAGAAAACATTTCCTTCAAGTAATTACCCCGATACTGTAAACTAAAAATAATTTTGTTCACTGATTGATGAGATAATTTACCTAAAAATGGCTATGATGAGAATCTGAATACAATGAACACAAACACATTAATTATGTAAGTGAACTTAAGGTTTTGATGCATCTTCGTGCTGAAACTAATAGTAAGATGGTAAACCTAGAATGTAGGACGAAGGAAGATACTCTATAGACGGAAAATAGGAAACTACAGTTGAAGTAAACGTTAGAAGGCAAGAAAAAAACGAAACGTTTGTCACTGTAATGAAAACAGGCTCCACTAAAAAATATAAGAGACAAGAGACCCCACCCGTAAAATGGAGTTTAATTTTGGAGGTTTGATATATTAATTTAGTAATTGGTTTTATTTATAAGTAACGTATAGGGAAAAATAATTACAGAGTAACATCAAAATAAGAAATAACTAGCATCAATCACACAAAAAATTAGACAGTGAAACGGCGAACAGGAAGAAAATATGAACTCTAGGAATTCCTACTAATATATTGATTGAAACTGATGAATAATTATTCGTTGCAACAATGAAAAGTGAAATTTAAAATTTTATATGAGACACTAGTGCTGCTTGGAGCTGAAATCAAGATTGGCAGTGCGAGTTGAATTAATGCTCGTTAATGAATGATGGTTGATGAATGAAGGAAGCCTGACTGAATCTACTTCTTATTACGGAACTGAACACAATGACACTTTTGATAAAACCTAAACGAAAAGACAAAAAAAACGAATAACTAACATAGAACAAAAAATTAAGTAAGGGAAAAATTCCCCATAAGTTTTTTATGTCGAGCCGAAAAAAAGACAGACGACGAAGTATTTATAACCATCTGTAAATAAAATGTATCTCGGATGATCTCCCACGACTTAAACTTCACTACGCATTTTCAGTGTTGCAGCTACGTAATTTATATGTAGCTCCCACGCTTGCAACGGTAGCGCGGAGCGATTCACAGAGTCCAGCCTCGGCGCTCGTCAAGATTGATGATCGGTCTCGGGACTCCAAAGGAGCGTTACAGATGATGCGATTCGCGTTCTATGCATCATTTCTCAACGCGATGCTTTCGAGGGGCTTCTTTCTAAGTCAGAATATCGCTGCATAGCAGCGCTTCGGCAAATTGTTGCTGCAACATCTCGCTGAAAATTGCAAGATGAAGCCTTGACTTTCCGGTTGACTGCTTGATAAATAGAAAGCTTGGGCTGTTGCCTCTTATGATACGAATTTCGTTTAATATATTTGTCTCTGTATCTATCCAACCAATTTTGATCCTTACTTTCAACAGACAAATTTACTATAAATTCCTAATATCCTGTATAAGATCATTTCTGCAATTAATGAATGCCATCACTCCGAATCGCAGGTGACACTCTCGCAGTACGTTTATTATTTAAGTAAGACCTGTTCAGATCCCAAATGAAGCACTGAATAATTCACGACAAAGTAAAAAACATAAAGTGTACTCTTACTTTTTTAATATAATTTAAACTTTCCGAAGTAGAAATCATATTTCAAATTTTAAACTAACTAAATTTTAAACCGCCACTAAAATTTTTTAAATTTTTAGTTTAAAATTTTTAAACTAAAATTTAAACCGCCACTAAATTTACATTTTTAAACTAAAATTTAAACCGCCACTAAAATTTTTTAAATTATTAGTTTACATTTTTTAAACTAAATTTTAAACCGCCACTAAAATTTTTTTAATTTTTAGTTTAAAATTTTTAAACTAAAATTTTAAGACGCCACTAAAATCAATCGGTTAATATCCTGACACAATCCCCGGTACGCGCTCGATCAACGCTTTATGTCTAGTGCGCGGCTTCAAGCACATACACATGCTCTGACAATTATATCATAGATTATTTCACTTGTCTCAGATTCGAATATTTGACTTTAAATGTCGAATTAAACTTTGATTGTTTTCTCATCTAATTTTGTTTTACCTTAAATTTTTATGTCTACCACAACTCATACTGTTGATCGCCCTTAAAACTGTAAATGTATTTTTTTTGTTCATTCAATTGCCCTCATTAGAATGTATATGCATTGATACATTGTTCATATTTTACGAGTAAATGCTCCTGTAAAAAGAAGACATCGTCGATAATTTTCGCCTCACTGCCATTACTGCTGTGTCGTCTTTAAAAATTGCAATATCTGTAAAATTTCTGCTGTAGAATTAATTTCTACTTTTGGATAATTTTCAGATGTGTGTTCACACTTTTTTCGCCAATTTTTAAACCCTTCTCTCAAATATTCATGCATCATGACCGTGGTCCATGTCTACTATTATTATCTTCATTACTTAGTCCCATGCAATCCTTCATTACTACTGCCCTTATCTCTTATTGTTATCACACATGCGGAGTTTCAAGTCGATCGTGTCATGTCCCCCGCAGGTGTACGCAGTGCTGTGCGTCACGGCGCAGTTCCAGGAGTACATGGCAGGGGGCGGCACGGCACAGGCACGCGAGCTGCCTGTCAGGGTCAGTACGAGCAGCGCCTGATCTTACTGTCTGCTAACTCCTACCCAGTGAAAATTTACAGACGCGGCAGCTTCTGATTTGGATTACCAGAAGCTGGGGCGAATCTAAATTTTGTTAGGGTACTGACGTCCATGCCTGGCAACTCCCTGTTCATTGCTGCGTGTATTGCTTATTGTTGTGTCCATGAATTGCACTCATTGCTTTTTGCCGTCTGTATTGCTTCCTGTTGCAACCATGCATGGTATCTCCCTCTCACTGCTGTGAGTAACAAGCATTCGATGTAGAATATTGTGCCCATGTTTCCCACACATGATACAATATCGTAGTTAACTCATTATTACAACTCTCTGCTCATTGCTGTGTGTGCGTTGTTTGGTGTTGTGCCTTGCATATTAGCACTCCGCACGGTGCTGGATGTTGTTTATTATGCATTGCATGGTTTTTGCTGTTCATGTCAATGCTAAATTTCCGTTCATTGCTGCCTGTTTTTTTGCACTTAAAATAAATAAAAATCATCAATTGCACTCCTGCATCAATTACAGCTTCTTCATATATTTCTTAAATGAATTAATTATTCGTTCTTCTCAGCTACTACTCATCCCTATGACGGTACGGTTATAACATATGGAAAATCGTCAACCTAATTTGTATATGAGTCTGAGCGACTTGATTTCTTTTGCTTATATGTACTGAGGAACTTTTTCCTTTTATTGTGATTTGCTTATCCTGGATATTTGTTCATTATCAAGTTTATCTAATCAATACTTATGATAGGACTACGGCTAGGCTGCGGCGATACTCTTTTGCATTTGACCCTATTTATTTTTCGATAGGTATTTTTTTTAACAAAACCTCATCATCTCTCCTCAGCCTCATCTTGACATGGCCTCCTCAAGTAATTTATGGTAATTGTACCCATAAACCAAACTTCTGGAAACCTCGAGGCGAAAAAATTCAGACTCCTTCCTTAGTCAAGAGAGCAAGTTAACTTCATTTTCATTAATTGTTGATCTTACCTTCGCTGCAATATGATAATTAAGTTGCTATGGTTAAGTAAATAAATCTTTTTGCTTGCTTCGCAGTTGCTTAATTTTTTACAGTCACGTGAAATAATTACATTTGCAAACATCCGCACCTTACGATCTTCTCGTGACCCGTATTGCACGTCTCAAATTAAAATCGTATTGTTTCCGTAACTGATTAAAGAAAACGCGCCTGAATCCTTCGTGTATCTAAAATTCAGCGCGATACGTAAAATTGTAAAATTTTATCGAGTTGTCGGTGACGACTTGTCAGCGTGTTATTGTCATCTCGGTGTCGCTAGAGCGTTTCTTCTTGACAGAGACAAAGTGTCAGTTCTTTATGTATAGGCTTTTGGTAGAATAAATCTGGATACCTCTTTCGATTTGAGTTCCTTGAAAAAAGCTTGAATTTTATTGATTTTTTCTGATCTCACCGTGCGCAGATCCAAGATAGGTTTCATCTCTATTCACAAGTTATAATAATTAATAAATTTGAATTCAATTATTCTTGTGTGTCAATATGCGACAATTCAGGCGAATTATTTGCATCGATAAACTTTGTGATTATCGCGACAACGTGTGATGCTCATGGAGGTATTGCCTCCACGATCACATGGCTTCAATTATTAAATGCGCGGCGCCTGCATGAATACCGCCCCATTCACGCGACAGTGGAGCCGCGAACATGAACATATTTCGTATTATTTCCATTGCCGAAAAATGAGGCAAGATTTTATTATCAATGTTGAATAAGGCGAGAATTTATTATCAATGCCGAAAATGAGGCGAGATTTTATTATCAATGCCGAACATAAGGCGAGATTTTATTTTTCAATGCAGAACATGAGGCGAGATTCTATTTCCTTTGCCCAATTTGAGGCGAGATTTTATTATTAATGCCGAACATAAGGCGAGATTCTATTTCCATTGCCCAACATGAGGCGAGATTTTATTTGCAACACCGAAATACGGTTGGTCACTTTTTAAATGAGTCAGAGACTGGCCTGGCCACTGAACGAGCTGTCCAGTTTGGTACCAAATTTTTAATTCTTTGCTTGCGAATTGCTTGTTAGAATCTCACAGGAAACTTTTTCAATAATCTTAATTGGTTTTAGATTTCGATTTATCGAAGATTTACATTCCCAGTGGATTGCCAGACAATAATATTTTTTCTTAGTTAATCAACAGCAATCCGAAATATTTCCGAGGCAAATAATGTTGACAGCCATGGAGTTACATCCTTCCTTTGCCCCCTTGCTTTGAATATCTTGCTTGCTTCTACAGACTACCATGCCCGCCTGCTTCTAATGTCTTGTTCGCTTCTGTGTACGTCAGTTACGAGACTAAAAATTGCTTCAATTTGTTCAAAGATTTCAGTTTTGTGTATCGAGCGCGAGTGCCTGGCCTGTGTCCAAGAAACTTAACTGCCCCTGAGATGGGAAAATTTCCCACTAGTGTAGCTGCTGACCTCTGCGTCGCAAGGCGCTGGCTTTACGAGTTTTTTAGTGCGTTACTGCAAAGATCTGCATGAGCGTTAGCTTAGGTGTTGGAGAACGAACGATCTGGTCTGACTTTTTCCTTCAGTAAATGTTCTTGACCAGTATATCATTCCTGATCAGATATGTATATGTAATGCAAAATGGTCGCATGTTATTTCGTATATTATACTTATCATTACCTCAGGTTAGACTACTCGTGCTTGTAATTTTATTAAATATTTGTGGTGTATTGCACCCGCTCAATTTCTGTGTTAAGTTTTGCTAAGTAAGAAAACGAAACCAAATGCTTTGTTGAAGCACTTGGTTTCGCTTTCGTTCAAAGCTTTGCTCAATAGTCCCCACGCTCTACTCACTATACGACTTACAGTATAGTTGCTATTCGAAGTGTCTTATGAGTCAGTATTCAATTATTTTAACTCAGAGGCTGTGTATATTTCATTAAATTTCAGTTCCACAATAGGTTTTTTTCAATTTATTGAATTATAATTCCAAATCCGTTTGGCAGGTGTTCCGTTTACAGTAGTCAGAAGTTAACGTAAGTGCATCACATTTGCTGTTGTTTTTCATCTACAAATAATGCTTCATATTCCATTAATAACTTACCTTACTTCTTTCCCGTAAAAAAGCTCTAGCATCTCAAATAATTATTGTTCTGTAAGCCTCTGAAAGTTCAATAAAGGCGCATTAACATAAGAAATAAAGTTAGCATGATCTCATATTCCATAAATACGCTCGACCCTAAGAGATGTTGACGCATATATTTCACTCAAATGTTAGATTATATTTCTGGCTAAATCATGCAGTAAGTTTTGATAATATTAATATATGAACAATGAAATAACACTCAATGTTGTTTCTAGACGTCGTCGGTCCGCTTTGCACGCAAGTCATCGACGCACGTTTTGGCGACCTGCAGGGAGGACGTCGAGCTAGTCGAAGCTGGGGTCCATTGTTCAAATTCGACGCGTTCTGAGCGCAGAACGCGGGAACCGAAAGTCCCTCAACTGCCGCGACGTACGGTCTCCTTCCACAGGCATCCCAGCGACAAGAGGGTGCATAGAATAGCCCGGAAATATTCAGCTGTTTCTGCAGCAGGCCTAGCAATACAAAACGAATTGCCAACCATTCATGACAATGACATGTCGAACAACACTTGCAACGGAGCAGCTCCCGATGAAGGATCTGGTGGCGCAATGAACTTTATTGCTGGATACTTCAATGCCTCCGAACCCACTGGCAGTAGCGTCTTATCGAGCAGTTCTTGTGAACTGGACGGACCTAGCGTGGACAATAACGCTATCAGTATTGACATGAGGTCTTCCGATGACATGCTTGCGGGTAGTGGGAAAACTTCGTCTTGCAACACGGAGGTCATTATGAACATCGAAGTACTGCATGATTCTACAAAGCAGCCTAAATTGCCTCGGCCTGTAGGATTGAAGAGACAAAACACCTTGCCCATCACTCACCGAGATCGTGATGCGTTGAACTTCCCAGTCTCCACACACACGCCCAATATTAGAGATTCTTTATGTTCTCCGCCCATGAGGCGCGGATCTCAGTTTTATTATTCAAATACTCAACCTTTGCCTGTGTTCACTAACCTCTTATCTAACTCACCACAGCTTGCGTCAATGACGCCTGAGCATGCTGTGCCTCTGCAGCTATTGACAGATGCATCTGAATTGTTAGATCCACCTCACAGATCCCTGCAGCTTTTGACTGGTCCATCTGAACACCTGAAGCTCATGGAAAATTCATCCAAACACCTGCCCCGTCTGACAGATTTTCCAGAACCTTCAACCATGTTGGGAAATCGCTCTGAACCTCAACCATCTTCAGTATGTATAATTGAACCTGTATCTTTACCTTCATTTTCATATCTTTCTGAACCTGCATTGCGTTTACCTGAACCATATGTACCCGTGCAAATGTCCCAATTAGAATCAGACCCGACTGAATGCCTATTGTCGTTAGTGACTGCCTCGCAACCTAATGTACCAGTGTTATTGGATCCGTCGCAATCAAACTATCCGAACATGTCACAATTCATATCAATCCTGTCCGAATCTTCACCTTTACTGTCAGACCAATCCAGAGCGACGAATTTCTCATCAGACCCTGCAGAATCAGTGCCACAGTTTCATAATAATTACCGACCTGCAACATTATCGGCAATTTCATCACACGGGCTACAGTCGCCAAGATCCTCGACAAGCAACTTGTCGACGGAGGCCATCGGTGGTGTCCAAGAAGGAAGGCATCAACATTCGAATGATCGACAGTGTCTTGATTCTGGGAACGATTTGGTTGAAAATCATAGACTATGTGAGGTAAGCAATAATTTCGCACTACCTCGCGAAATTGAAAAAGTCAGAATTAATGCAAATCTTGATATAGTGTGATCCTGCTGCTGAATAACGATGAAAATTTTCACTTGACTGGTTTTCTTAATTAATGAGATAAATATTTTAACAAATTCAAAGGGGTCTAATCTAATCCTAAAATGAATTTGTTTACAAAAGTATTGGTTACCATTTCTAAACAAATGTTGTAAACAAATGTATATTTTTTAATTAGTTTTGTACATTGGTCTCTAAGCAAACACGAAATGTCTCTCGATTTCCAATTTACGCTTTCGATTATTTATGGGCTAATAATTAAATTCATCTGTAGTAATTATGGCAACACACTTAGCAGATTTAATTTTCTTCGTTTGCAATATCCGGACCATTGAACTGCCGTCCCTTAATGGTACTTAAATTTCATATTTTTCCTCAGCATGAATTTTTTGTCCTTGAACTAAGCTAAATTGAGGCTCCGTCTGTGTAAGCCTTACCGATTCATCTCATTGCATTGAAATAATAATGATATACACCATAGATGTGCGCTGATTGAGCCTATTCTTATCGATTACGCCAAATAACTGTTGTCAAAGCAAGTATCAAGGAGAGACTGGAGGTCAGACATCCCAATCTTTGATTAATTTTTGATATTTCGGTCGTGTTTGAAGGAATTATTTTATTTCGTCATGAAAGCAGACTTGTCTCGTTCGCGATTCTGTCTAACTAGAGCAGGACTCTCAGCCCGACGCTTGTGTTGCAAACTCGCTTTGATTGAGCAATAAGATTCATAGAATGAAATCAACGAATATTCATTTTGGGACTCATGAACAAAGCAAATGTCAGCCACACAAAACAGTGTCAAGCACTCTTCATCCAATTGGCGGAAAATTTCTAACAAAGAATTCATTTATGAATTGATTTATGCTCTAAATTCTTCTTTTAACGAGGTTGTTGGCTATTATTTGCATACAATTTAAACTTTATATTAATATTCTTCACCATTTTCGTTGAATAATTTTTTTTAATATTATTGTGTTTTGGTAAATTTTGTGGGATAATTTATTCAATTAATTCATGATTTAACGTTCAATTTTCGAGAAAAAAATTTGCTTTGATAACGAGGAAAGGAGTGTTTTTGTTTGAGAGCGTTTCCAACATAACGAACATCCGCTTTCATTTTCATAAATTTATTCTTTGTGTCATTGAGCGACTGGAAGTCGATCATAGAATGACCGGCATTCATTCATTTAATGACTGAAAGTCGTTTCCACAATGTTGTCTAGTCAATAGACTGAAATTTCTTCTCTGAAGGTAAGCCGCATTACATTTGTTAGAGCCAACTAAGGCTTTTTTGTTCATACATAGAATTGTTATTCATAACACACAAATTTAGTTCAAACTACGTTAGATTCTCGCTGCCTGTCCCTCCTCAGCCCAGTTCTGTTCAGCCATTCAACACCAAACGCACATCGAGAAGCTCGAGTGTCGCATTGAAACTTTATTAACAATCATGGACAGCTTTTCAGCCGCCATCAAACGGGCGACCATGGGGCGGCGCTAATATCGTGCCAATTTTCCGAGCTCATTAACTGGTAAAACTTCTGGAATTCTAATGAATTTGATCTGCTCTCTTAATTCCTAACTGAGCGTTGGTCGTGTGCGTTCAGGTAATCGATTGGCTTCATAAATTTTACGTTCAACATTTAAGTTCAGAATTTTGATGGCACGGAAATGTAATCGAATTCAAAGTTTCGCTGTCAGTCATTGAGTGATCATAGTTACGTGATTTCGAACTGCAACTATTGAGTTAAATTAAAAAATGAGTTAGTTAAATGTCGAATGGTCATTAATATTAATTCTACTAATGCAATATACATCCTTCAGAGATTAAGGAACATGACTTTCCGTTGTGCCATGTGACTTCACATGAGCGCAAGGGGCGGATATTTGGTGCGAAATTTTTACTCGAGCGTTCACATAATAGCTGCGCTCGCATTTTCGCAGGCTTTATATTTAATTATTTGTTTTGATTACTTTAAATCCTCTTAAAATTTTTATTTTCAGTCTTGTAAGATAATCGCTGGATTTGAGTGGCTTTCCTGCATTTTATGAAGTGAAAATCTTAACAAATTATATATTTTGAAGTCATCGCCGACGTTACGACAATGTCAAGCTGATAATTAGAAAACAAGCATTGCTGGCGTCCAGCTGTACCAGCATAATATAGAATTATATTAATAATAATTGAATTATAATAATATAATTATTTATTCAGCCATTTTGGCATGCGGATAATTAGATGAAGCTCTAGCACCTCACTAGCATGCTAAACCTAAGAAATGTACCGCATCAATTATATTGACGATCAAAGTTATTTGTACTCTTGAAAGTGTTATGTTCAACCATGCACGCAGTTAATCTTGCATCTGTTGACATTATCGTTAGTCTTCGGTTGGTTTCAAATTTGTTGCTCGAATGCCGTGATAATTTTTCGTTTACACATGGTATGTATAGCATGAAGGGCCAGTAGCATTGAGAAATGTAACTTTTTATCAATTTAAACCATAACGTTATCAACGGGAGGAGTAAATAAAGGGCTGGGAGAGAATTTTTTGCGTATTTCATATTTCTCACGTTTCAGATAAGTTTGTTATTGTTAGCGAAGAAAGGTGGAAAACTTTTCTTGTTTCTCGCGCTCGTTTTCAACACGCACTTGACTGCCTTGCTCGAAAATAGCAGTGGTGTTCGCGGTGCCGTTTAGTTTTGCTAATTGTCCAGTACCTGCGACCTCTAAACCTGCAACTATGCCTTCAATGAACGTGAAATTTAGATAAATAGGTATACATAAGTAGCATATGGGGGATAAACCTTGGTCTCAATAGCGTAAGATCCTTATGAATACTTTTTGCAAGGAATCTTTTCGCATGCTGATTGACGACAAATTAAACGTTGTAAATCGAGCATACTACTATTTCAAGATTACCTCTCATCACTTCGTTTTTCTGATCAATGATTGTAATCCTCTATTTCCAAATCTATATTACAGTTAAGAGAAGTGTATCATTCTATGTAGATGTAAGAACTCGTAACTATGTCTCTTCTATGCGCACGTCTTAGTTTTGCGCAAACGCCCTTTAAATATATTTCTATGATGAGTGCGCTTATAACTTAAGAATTAGTATGACGAATTAGCTGCTCTATAAACTTATATGTCATTAAAATATAAGTTTATTAAAAATCTTTACATTATTTATTTAAATATTTCATGCCGCGTTTTCGTATTGTATATTAAAGAAAACTCATCAAATTTACTAAAACGAAATGATTGCATGGGTCATACTTTCAAAACTCACTAAGTGAACGTAAGTACTTCCGCCCTATTTTCTTGTTTATGATTGGTGGATTTTGCTTGAAAGGCCGTCAATGATTGGCTGATGAACTTACGATCTCTTAACTTTTTTATGTATGGGCCTTGCATATTTTTGCAATTTTTTTTTAAGTATGGGCCCTGCAGATCTTTATATAAAAGCCCTAGGCAACGGAAAAATAATAACAGCCCTGAAATTTTTCGATGCAGAGGTTGTTTGATTGGCCCTGATTTGAATCAATTTCTCGCCTCGTGTTAACAACCGCGATATCTGATCAAGCCTATTGCATGTTGTGTGATGATCATACCTTGTGAGATGAGTTGCTGAGGGCAGCAGGACATTCTCTCTACCCAGTTGATGGGCATTGTTCGTGTATTGTTAGGAACCAAGTGTATCTCCAGCTTTACGATTGATCATTAAATTTTTCACAATAATGTTAATCTTAAGGATCATCCATGCAGTATTCGTATGTTTATCATTCTCGAATTATACTGAAATATTTGTGGTTGTATTTTTTTATCCCTTCCTTTACTTTGGCTTACGTGGAGGGACTAAAAATTTCTATGCACCCCAATCACTAAACTTTTATACACAAAAATTTTTTTTTAAATTGTCGATAAATGTAAAATTACGAGCTTAACATAAATGGAACTAGTATCAAAAGTATGTAATGGAAGGTAAAGTATAGAAACACATAAACAGT